GTAGCGTACGTTTTGAATTGCAATGGAGTGTTAATTTATGCTGATGATATGAAAATTTTCAAGAGGAATCGTACTGTAAATGACGCAGTTTCTCTTCAGAGTGATCTGGATAACTTTTGCAGGTAGTGCACTAGCAACAACTGGAAAATCAACGTTAACAAGTGCGCGCTAATGTGTTATTCTAGGCAAGGACAGCCAATAATATCAAATTATGCGTTAAATGGTCAAGTTATTAGTAGGTTTTATTCAATTATGGACTTAGGGGTTTGCTTCGATAATAAACTATCATTTGCCAACCGCTAAAACTATGTGGTTGGCAAAGTAAGCTCTATGTTGGGATTTATTAAACGCTGGTCAAAGGTCCCTATAAAAAAAAGTCCCTATATTTGTCTCTGGTTCGTCCCCATCTTGAATATGCCTCACAAGTTTGGTCGCCTTTTTACAATATTCATATTAATGGGATTGAATCGGTTCAGAAGAATTTTTTGCGATTTGCGCTTCCTCACCTTCCATGGAAGGATCCTATTTTTCTTCCTCCTTATGAGGAAAGGCTCGAATTGATTGCCTTACCCACTTTAAGTGAAAGATGTGATATTCATTTTTCAACTTATGAAACCTGATTTGATCTCTCCCGATATTTTTAATAAGATCGTCATGATATATTAGGTCTGGTTCTCCTAATTTTTTTATAATTCCGTTTCATAGAACTAATTATAGGAAAAACGAACCTGTCAGTAGAATGTTGAGCCTGTGTAATAAGTTCAAGAACATACTTGATTTCAATTTAACAAAGGACACTATAAAAAAAAAACTAAATATGTAAATTAATATATAAGGTAAGTGTAGCTAATACTGACAGTGGCGGTAATACTGACATATATGAGGTTTTTTATAATTATTAAGAGATTTTCTCTATTCAACATATATATATATTTTTATTTCTAGATTAATTCAATTTATCGCAATACTTCCTTTTATTTAGTTTTGAAATAACTCCAAAATATTGAACATAAATCAGTTTTGTTTCCATAGACATAGCAATGGTGGGTTGAATTGGAGAATTTCTTATACTTTTTGCTTAATTTTTCCGATTTTGTTTTTATTGCTTTTTGACTTATTTGAGGGTTAAAAATATATGTATTTATATTAAATTAAATATTTTGATTATTTTTTATCTTATTTTATAAGTAATTCGGAGTAAAAACATTAAATAAATAAGAATTTTAACAAATAATTTCTATCAGTATTAGAAACATCTAAAATTCGACCATGCTTCTATTACTGACATATGTGTCAGTAATACGTCAAAAATCCGTATTTTTATAAATTACGTCATTTTTAAAATATTTAAATTTTTATTTTCGTATTTATTTAATTAAAATCGAATTTGAATTTTCTTTTTAATGTCCGAATTCTGACACTAAGAATTTACTACAGGTTCGGAGTATTTTACCTTTAAAAACTGGTGTCAGTAATACGATCTAAAGAGGGTCAATATTATGTACAAAATTATGTCAGTATAAAGTTTTAATTTTGATATTCATTTTAATTAATTAAAATACTTTCTTTATACTTTAAAATTGTTTAAACTATTTCTGTCGAATGAAAATCGATTACATTTGTGAAAACCTATATCTGACTACGACCTTTTTACCTTTTTAATAGTGATATTCGTCTAATAAATTGTGTGTCAATATTGTATACAATACTGTCAATAAAACAGTACAATTCGCTTTCTAAAAAATGCTTTAAAATTACTGTAAACGTTAACGTCATAACAGTTATCACAACAGAAATAGTTCTCTTTAAATAAGAAAAGTAGTCCTTTTTAATAACCCAAAATGTTGTTCCAAAAATTAAGAATGGGTTGCTCTCGTTACGTACTTAATACATAAATAGTCAAATTTGTTAAAGCAAAAAGCAGCTTTAGAATAGGCTTATTATAGGTTAAAGCGAAAAACAGCTTTAGAATATATTGATATGATTTCTTATAATTTCGTGTGATATGGTACATCATATTTTAGGTATTATTTATAAGAATACATTTGTAGCAAATATTACTTACAATACTTTATAAAACATTATGTCATTTAGAATTAGATTTTCATAAATTTCTTTTAAAAATTTTTATTTATTCATTGTTGCATATTAAGACTACTAGTAAAAGTACATTCTACAGCAATAATAAATTCAAATCAGCTGAATTTCACATGTTTTTACCTTTAATTCAATAAAAAATATATTTTTTATTTTTGTTTGAATTATATTTTGATTTATTTTTAATTTTTTTTTAAATAAGATGAAATATCCGTAGAAATCTAAATTATTATTCCATTTTTATTGAATATTATCATTTTAACCGTTTTAACCATTATTCATATATAGAATATAGATTACAGCATATGAAATTACATTGTCAGTATTAGGAACACAAACTGTCAGTAATAGACACAAACATTTGCGGTTATGTCAATATTAGGAACATTTTTGCTTTTCATTTTTAATCGAAAAATTATGAATTAAAAAATATTTTGATTAAATAATTTTATAAAAAACATTATTCTCAATTATCCAAATTATTCAAAAAATCGGAAACACGATCATTTATTGTATCCCACATATAAAATATCTCACGCCAAAGTTGAATTTGTTGCGAAGTATGTCAGTAATGGGGACACTTACCTTATATATTATATTGTGATATGCTTGAGCTAAGTATGTAAAATAAAATAAAATAAAATAAATTAGGTCGCGAATAGGAAAAGTTTAAAAAGCCATGTTCTATACTAAAAAATATAGCACAAATTTTTTTATACTCAGTGTATTATCATTTTTTATACTCAATTCTCTTAGATATCTTGCGGTTCAAAAACTTGAAAATATATTTAATCAAAATTATAGTTAAAATTTTCAGTTGAAATATGAATTTTTGGTATTTGCTCAGCAAACTTCAAATTTTATTTTAGTTTTCTTTATTTATTCGTCATTCCGTCTAAAATATAAATGCAGTTTTAACAAATACATTCACAAAAAATTCAGGGTCGTATAAAAAACTCCTTGACTAGTAAATACCGTATTATTTATTAGTCAAGGAAGTCAAGGAATCTTTATATGTATTAAAGTTCTAAAAAAAATGCATACGTCACAAATTTGACATACACCATGATATCAAAATTGTAATATTTATTAATACAAAATTTAGTATTTAATTAGAATTTTAAAGTTGAATTGTATATTAATTATGGTATTACTGCAATTTTGAAATCAGGAATATTCTATATCGATGCGAATATATGTATTGAATATGAGTCGTGAAGCAGGTCAATTTAAATTTTTACATTAGAGATATGGACTTTTTTAAAAAGAAGAATAAGTAAAAAATACATTACATTACATTATTAGGATTTTGTCATTTGGAATTACATGCTATATATAATGAGAGATACGATATCTTCTAATAGGACAATTCGAGTTAGGACATGATATAAATTTGAACCATTTTTATTTAGCTTGTGACATTTTTCCTGATACAACATTAAAAATTTTTTAATTTTTTCTTTGACATTTTACTCATTTTTGAATAAAAATTTATACCGAATTTAGTTATACAGCAAGTCTAAAGCATATACTTCAATAATGGATTTCTTCCAGTTAAAAACACTAACACAGTAGTTAAAAATACGAATTGAAGTAATATTATTACATACATATCAACTTAATCAGATTTGATTTTCCATTTATATTTGCACCCATACAATTTTTTGCTTGAAATTGATCAAATCCTTCAAATTATTTGCCACCTCATGCGACACACCCTATATATGCATGTAACAAATAACGCATTTATATTATATACACCCTGAGATTGGGTTGTAATAACACTGTATTAATGCGGAATTAGTTTATGAGTGCAAATTGCTGTGTCGATGCGGCATTATTACAATTTCGATGTCAGAGATAATCGTTCACCTAATATATAGTGTAAACTTAATTTATTCAGCAATGGAATTTATATCGAAATATATAATCAAAATATAATATATTAATTCATATTTAATTTGTTGTAATAATTACATATATGTAATTTCAATACCTAATTATACCGTATAAAAATTTTTCATGTTATTTAAAACTCATGCATCTTTAATATACATATGTACGGTTTATTTTAAAAGAAATCGAAGTCCACTTGCAATTTCAAAATTCTGCCAATATGATTATGTCAATATAATTAAAATTGAAATTTAGGTTGTCAGATAAGTAAATAAGTATTCTATATAAAGCAAATAACCACTTTAAAACCAGATGGAACATAACATTTCATTTTTGATTGAAATGTGCACTTAAGTCACTGCCAAAATAAATCATTCATATTATTCATATAAAATTTTTCCCGAATTAAATTACTTTAATATTTTATAATTTTATTTAATATATTTGATCCCCCCAGTCTAACAAACGATTTTTGCTGAACCAAGGAATCTTCTCTGAAATTATTTTCAACTTTGTGCGAAACACTCTATATATACACTCTTTATATATTATTTACTTTATATATTATTTCGAATACTTTTAATTTATATTCAATTATTTAATTTATATTAAGAATTTCGAAAATTTTTAATTTCAAATTTAACAATAAATAAATAAAAAAATTGTTGTAAAAAACGAATTTAAAATCTATAAAATATAATCAAAATATTTCATGTTAAAATGCTATTAAAAACTTTAAAAAATATAATAAAAATACATTTGAAATAAACAATTTAAGACAGATTAAAAAATTTACAAAGTTTAAATATTTAAAAGAAAAGTGTTATAAGGCGATTTTACAATATGACACTGCGAATTCCGGCATTAAATTCAAAATATTGTTATAATAAAAAAAAATAAAAAAACAAAATTTAATTTAAATATTTTTAATTGATATTTAAAATTCAAGAGAAACCTTTTATGAGTTTATATAATTTTTTTTCTAAAGTAGGTATGTAGTTAGTTACCTTCTCGTATAAAACTAGTTGAATTGTAATAGCAAACCATTTTACTGCCACCGGGAACATTTTGGCAATTAACTAATGTAAAAAGCAGTATAAAAACTGGTAAAATGTGAAATTTTAGAAATTTCATGTTTTTTTTTAAATTTTAACTCGCGATTTTTCACACATCAAAAATTTAAACAATAATTTTTTTTGTTCTTTTATTTTTGATCTTTTTCGTACTGCTTTCGATCACCTTTTACACTAAACTAAAATAATATGAAAAATCAAGAAGAGTTTTTGAGAGTTGAGGTTTTTTAATTTTTTGTTTTTTTTTTAGTTATGTTTTTTTAATTTTAAGTAACACTTAAATAGTAGGTACGTAGGAAGGAAAATACGGCAACTGGGTAGGTATATAATAATATAAATATTAAACTTATTATAAAAAAAACATTGAAATAATAATAACAATAACAACAACAAAAATAAAATCCCAGAATTAAGTAATTAAGTAAAGTGATAGTATATAACAGAGGTGGGGAACCTTTTTACCCATGGAGGCCAAATTTAAAATAACAACTAAGGAGGCCGCATTAGTTTTAATACCAATAAATGTAGCTTTTGTACAGTTATTAGTGTGCAAATTCCATTTTTTTATCATATTTTAAATTCAGTTTTTATTTATTCCAAATTAAATTTTTTTTATTTTGAAGTCAATATTTTTTTTATGTATACATACATACATAAATACATATAAAAATTAATAAAATTATATTGATAAAACAAAAAATCAGTTCAATGCCAAAGTAAATAATTAAACATAAATAACAAAAAAACAACTTCAAATTCATTGTTTAATAAATTTAATTTATGTTAGATTATATGTAGTAAGATATTTGCATTTGTTTTTTACTTGAAAGCCATTGAATTATAAAAATATTAAATTAAAACACTCTGTACGAGCTTTTGCTCACTTGAGATTTTAAAATAAATAATAATAATAATATTTAAAGGGCATACGAATACAAAAGGCGGCGTAGCGAAACCGCACAAAACTCCTTTAGCCGCGTGTTCCCCACCTCTGGTATATAATATAATGTATATATGTACGAGAATGATACCAAAAATAATCGAGATATACCATATACAGAAATAACAACAATAATACAGTGGTGTCCAAATATAACGAACGATATAATATTCGGGGTTCGACGAGTTTACGATATATGCTATTATGTAAACACATTTGTAATGACCGCCGAATGAGTGAGGTGCCATTGATTATTAAAAAAAAGAAAAAAAATTAAAAAAAAAATTTCTCCAATTTTTTTTCATTACGTGTTTTTCAAAATTATTTTCTTTCTATTTCTATAGTGAAATTACATTGATAACGTGTACCATACATAAACATTGCAAAACATAGAGCTAAAAGGTTCGTGTCAGGCTTTAATTCTATGACAATTTTTGTATTTAGCATGATAAATTTAAGTAATTTTTTATGCAGAATGTGCACCTATGTCACTATGTGTAAACTTTAAAATCACGAATCACTTTTTTTATTTTTAATTATTCTATGTGTTGTCGAGTTAGCGAAAATTTATTTAACAGCTAGCTGTCGTAATAAAATACCACTACGATTATCCTCTATAATGTTCATTTTTAGCACTTTTCCAAAAAAATTTTTGAAAAAAGTGCTTATTAGTTTCACTCTGTCCGTCCGCCCGTCAGTCCGTCCGTTCGTCCGTGGACATTTTTTTTGTTTACAAAACTTCTACATCCTTGAAGATAGAAATCTGAAATTTCATACATACATAGATCCTTACTAGAAACTTATTTCCGTAGAACGAAATTTTTACCTATCTCCTCCTCTCTAGAAGTTATACCCCCCCAAAACCCTAAAAATGGCCTTTTTTTAAATATTTGTTGCAATGAAACCATAAACATTTTTGAAATTTTGCAAACGCAGAAAGGCAGTGGCTTGCTTTCCCTAGCGCGGTATACTATAGTTAAACTTTAGAGAAACAAAATGGCCTTTCAAATTTACCGTTATCTAAAGTCCTTTTTTTCCAAATTTTTGATGTCGTTTTTCTTTTAGACCCTAGCCTGTAGAACTTTGAAATTTCAGGGACTTTTAGACATTAACAAATAGTTCATTTTATTAGAAGAAAATTTTTTTCCATCTCCACCCCCTCTCAAGTTATCACCTCTTGAAATTCGTAAAATTTGAATTTTTGACACCTTATATTTCCGAAACCGCAAGCTTTTCCAATTTTTTATAAAAGCAAAAAGCTAAAGGTAAATTTCATGAAATTAAAAAATGTAATTATTTTTCTTAACTCACACAATTAACACTTAAAATCGAGCATTATGTTAACCCCACTTTATATTAATTTGTGCTGTATTTCAAAGACTGCATAAATCGTTAATCCTAAATATATGCAGTCCTAAAAATAGTTTTGTATATGAATGAAAATAATTTTAATAATGTGATAGGTATACATAGACTGTATTTTAAAGCAGAATTTTCACTTGTTGAAGGGAAAAGTGCTACAATACAAACCATTGGTTTGACCCAACTTTATTTCTCTTATTTTCAGAGACCCTTTCTATATGTACTATACATACATATATGCTTTTAATTAATAAACAAATATCAAAACATTGAGCGGAAAGTGAATACATTTTATGTATAAAAAAATTAAATAACGCAGATAATGTAACGGACATTTCTAGATAATCATAGCAATAGAAAAACCCAAAAATAGAAATAACCCCTGTTTGTTATACAGAAACAACATTTTTTTGATATTCCGTTATAATCGAGTAATTTTAATTCAAAAAATTTAGCTGTTCGTTATATTGAAACACCATCGTAATAATAATAATATGAACTTCGAAATCAAAAGAAAAGATTTGAGTAAAATCACATTTTATTTATTGAATATAGCGGGACTGAAAAGCAGCATATTTCATTAGTCCTTTAATTATATACACGTATACATACTTATGTATATTCAAAGGAATATATATGTACGTAAATTATGGTAGAAATTTTCATAGATTTAAACTGCAAACATCATATTCATAGGCGTAATATGCAATACGTTATCAAAATCTTGAAAAAAATTTAAAATATTGTATACACGTGCACACCATTATTTAAGAAATCTGAAAGTTGAGGAAAATGGCAGCTCATACAAAACTTACAACAAAACTTACTTATATAGTGGGAAATTAATTTAAACGCACTAGTATTAATTACTTACAATATGACTAGTGATTGGAATGATATTATTATAAATGGAGTCTTGTTTTAAAATAACTCACAAAGAGACCGACAGATATAGCAGAGACGTAAAATCAAACCATTTTTTTTACAAATATACTAAAAATTTTCTTAATCCGGTGTATTATATTTTTTTGGGGTTATTTCTTTTTTTTTTCTAGTTTCTAATTCTCAGAATATATATTATATTACAATAGTAAAGAGCGTGATCTATAAATTAATCATAATATAATTATTACAGGGGGATTTTTTCATTTATTTATTTATTTACTTATGCAAGTATTTGGCAAACTACTTAGATCAAAACCAAAAATATCATAGTACTGTAAAAATTTAAGTTTAAAAATTTAAATTTGTTTAAGTGAAATTGTGTTATTTTACTGTACACTTTATTTTTAAAATTTTGGAAATACTCAGGAACAATTCATTATGCTATCCACGTTGTCTTCGCCAAAATTTTACTGTAATACAGTACTTTTAAACATAGTATTATAGTGCAAATTAGTTTCTTGAATACTATTTTGTGATTTATATACAATAATTTATGAGTTTTTATAATTATATAAAAACTCAAAAAGATCTTATATAAAAATATGCAAAATAAAAATTCTACATAAGTATATGTACTCGTATAGTATTCGGTGGAATCTCTATATATAGAACCTGATCGTGTATCTCGCTACTTTGCTCGTCAAGTGACATACATAACAATGAGTAATTATCATATATTATTGTATAATGTGAGAAAGATTACTTTGTATTGCGTATCTCGTTTTTTCCTAAAATGTGTACAAAATTTGTTCATTTGTTTTTCATGGTGGGGCGTTCGATAATTTGAAAAAAAAAAAAAAAATACAAAACGTAATTGAAAAAATGAAATATCCATTAGAAAAACGAAAAATTCTGATTTGAAACTGACAAAAAAGTGAAATGAAAAACGAAATATACGATTACTTTCTTTTACTTTAATCGACATTGGCTCGTGTTGGTAATTTTTAACAATGTCATTTTTAAAAAGTGAACTATATGGACTACAGATATAATCCGAAATTGTTTTTGCAAAGCAGGTTTTGAAAGCCGTTCTTGATAATTTGCACGAAGAAGATATTTTTTTATTTAAAAACAATTTTATATTAACTTGTTTGAATGATTTCTGTTTGAAAGACACATTCAATATATTACCGAGATATAGAAATGGTAGCATCTTCCTGTAGCAAGTATTTCTCAAAAGAAAGTTTTTCTGTAGAAGGAATTATACATTTGTATATACACAATACCTTAATTTATTATATATGTATATTTATTACATAGCGAAGATATTTTACTATCCTACTTTCTTTTATATTAAAAAATTTTAGTTAGAATCTTTCAAGAAAAGTTGAGGGTAATGTCTGACAGTCCCAAATCAGTGCAGAAAACGTCACAAAGAGGATCTCTATTATGACGAATTATTTTCGTAATATACATACATATATAGAAATAACTATTTAACGAAATCACTATATACATATTATATGTATATTAAAAACAAAACTCTTGGGATTGTGAGAGGTGGAGATTTCGCTCTACATATACTCATATAAGAAGAATTATAGTTCTTTCCAGTTTAGCTTTCGGTATAATCTACACAATCATTAATAATTTTATTGCATTTATTTTATATCGAACTTTAAAATTGCAAATACGGTATTAATTCATCCTATAACTTATATTTGCTAAAATATATATTTCAAATACAATTTCTTTTTAATTTTGAAGTCACAATGGTCTGTAAAGCAATATTTATTATATAACTGCAAAATTATAAATTTAATTATTTAAATATATAATATTATATAAATTGTTTCTTCCCCCTATATACATATGAATACATTTTAATTAAAATGTAGAGCGCATTGTGTATTAGAATTTCCGACCCATATACTTATAAGTCTGTAGATTTTATGTATATATTCTTATACAGGATTAATATTTTTGCAAATTAATAATCACTTAGCATTAAACTATTTATATATGTATATA